TGCCATATAGTGCGTTATTACATCAGAGGTGTCAAATTCCAGGCCTGGAGGGCCACAGCACTGCACACATTAGCCTCTAGTGTTCTCTAACACCTAATTCAGCTCAGCCCATCATGATGAGTCAGAAGGGCTTTACTTATAGGCAGAGGTGGGTAGAGTAGCTCAAAACCATACTTCAGTAAAAGCATTGTTACTTAAATGAAATAAAGACCCAAACAGAAGAAAAAGCACCTTCCTGAAAAACAACAACTTGAGTAATTAAAGTACAAACGTAGCAGAACAGATATTGAGTAACTTATAGGACTGCAATGAAACTCTTTAGTACATCCAGCATCTATCAGCAGAGGCACTGACGTTTGTTAGCCTCTATTCTCTTTTTGTGATTCTTTAAGTCTAAAATAAATAATAAATAAACTCCAAAAGTCAGAAGTGTGACCAATCACAAAGCAGTCCAAGAGCTGACCCAATACAAGTCAATGAAATTAAACCCAAAAACGGAATTATTAACCTAATGCTAATGACATAAAATGTAACTGAGTAAATGTAAGTAGTTCGTCTCTGCAATGTAAGTAACGTCTGATATGATTGGCTGGCCACTTCACAAGGGCCCTGTATTAGGCCTCGTTCAGAAAACAGTACATTTTAAAGGTCTGAAACAGGTTGTTTTGATTAAAATCCCCTGGAACGTTGGAAAAAATACAATTCAGCCACTCCTTTCGAATGTCTGGATGCTTTGGAAAGCTGTGATGATCTGTTTGCTTCCCTGTAGCTGGGAACAGTGTAATGTTACCTTATTTCCTCCTTAATCTTCCACCCCAATAACTCTACTACAGACTGTTTGCAGTAACAACACTCCTTATCACTTCCCCATTTCTGTAGCATCTCCTTGACAACAATGAGATCAGACAGAAAGACAAAGGGAGACTTGCTGAAGTCTGTCGTGCTGCTCAGATGTTTCTCCTGAGAAAAACAGCCCAGTAATCTCACGTGTGTCCTCTTGAGTTTTAGTAGAGAGCTCAACAAAATCACACAGGTGCTCAGATTTGCAGATTTGAGTACTAACACTCATGTTTATCTGCAGCTAAGCGGTCATCGCTCCTTATTATCTCCTTAATGCCCAATGCTATCCCTCCTAAGGAATCACCATTAAGGTTCCTGAGCCATCAAAGAGCAACAATATAATTTTCCTCAGGATCAACATGAATGAATGGGTTAAATTAATATAATGCTGCCTAAAGTTCCTGCTGATGACTTTGGAGGTAGTCACGTATGACTTTAAGTTTCTAAGTGGTTTATTTATATTTATTTGTACTTGTATTTCCTTTAAGAAATTCAAGTTACCACTTCTAGAGTATTCACACTTAAACGAATGGTTCTTCAAGGGTTCCTTAGTAAAGACAGTGGTCCTATATAGAGCATGAAAAGAAACATTTGCATGCTCAAAGAGTTCTTTGAATGGTGAAATTGGTCTTCAGATTGATGGAAAATGTGTTGTATATATATAGTTCTACATAGAACCTTTTTTGAAAATAAAAATGTTATATAAAACCTTTGCTCTATTGTAAGATAGAGTACTATCTTACTACCTGCAAAGTAAATTCTAATGAACTGGACTGATTATTGTTATGTATTGTCCAAAAATGATACTTTGAATATACTTATATATTGTCCAAAAATGAAATGTTGGATATCCTTATATTTTGTCCAAAATTGAAATGTTGGATATACTTATGTCAAGTGGTTCCAAATAATTGTAGCTTAAAAGTAGCTTATAAGATGCTTCATTAAGTAAAATGCTTACTGTCCACTCTATTAGACACACTACCTTGTTGGGCCACCTTGTAGCTGTAAAGTCAGAGATGATAACTCATCTGTTGCTGCACAGTTTGTATTAATCATCTTGTTGTCCTTCATCAGTGGTCACAGAACGCTGCCCACAGCACGCTGTTGTCTGGATGTTTTGGTTAGTGGTCTATTCCCAGTCCAGCAGTGACACTGAGGTGTTTAAAAACTCCAGCAGCACTGCTGTGTCTGATCCACTCGTACCAGCGTAATACACACTAGCACACCAAATAATACCTGCTCTGTGGAGGTCCTGTGGGGGTCCTGACCACTGAAGAACAGGGCCCTTCAAAGACAAGCCACATTACAGGTAGGAATGTTTTTAAACTTAAAAAAATATATTGCTGTTACTAGGTTGGAAATTTGACTATAAAGACTATACAGGAGTCCAGTACAGCACCAATGCAAAGCTAATCACTCGTGAACATGTACACTAAAAACGTCTTTACACGCAGTGTGCTGATTTAAAATAATTAAATAACAAGCACTCAGATGCTTCTTTTAAAGATTGTATGCTTTTCTGTGTTAATTTGAGGGTGAGCTTTCTAAAAGTATTCTACTAAAAATTGTAAAAAGTAACTGTGTTCTGAATACTGCCTTTACAAAATGTAACTTTGAATACAGACTCTTGATTTTTGTGTTTGCTCAACCCTAGATTTGCCCTAGGGTTGAAAACTACTGTTCACTGATCATAGTTTCAGGTATTCTCTGCTCTAATATACCTGATCCAACTCATAAAGAGCTTAATGATTACCTGATGTGCTGAATCAGGGAAAACCTGAAACTGTAGAAAAAACAGGTCAACCCACTGCAAAGCTTTTTTAACATTTTCTCAACCTAGGTCTTTTAAAAACTCACAATTTTAAGTAGTCAAGTCTTGGTCAGGGTTACTATATATTTTTTAAGTAACTAGTAGCAGTAGTTTTTTTTTATTATTTTAGTTTTATTTTCATTTTGTTGTCCATTTTGGTTTTTAATTTTAGTTAGTTTCAGTTGGTTTTAAAGGTGCATTAATTGTTTTAGTTGTGTTTTTATTTCTGAAATGTAAGTTTTACTTTACTTTTTATTGAGATTGAGTTTTAGGTTTTAGTATTATGATGAACACTGTGATAGCAGGTATCTGAATGAAAAATAAAAGTAGAATAAAATTAGCAGTAGACTGAGCTGGTCTCGGCTCCGGCTTTCCTTAAAGACGGCTACACACAGAAGGGATCCACTTCTAAACTCTTATTCATGCACTGATAAAACAAAACTAAAGTTTTTTCAGTACTTCCTTTTTTTGTTAGTTTTGCTGTGGACATTGAAGCTTTGATGTAGTTCTTGTGTTTTTGAGAACGTATATTTTAATTTTTATTACAGTTAACAAGCACATTTTTCCATTGACAGTTTTCTGTTTTAGTAATAGTTTTAGTTAAATATAATATTCCTGGTATTGATCAGGTCAAGAAAACAGTTGAGTATACTCAAAAATACAAAACTAAACCAAACAATTCCAAATTGGTCATTGTTAAATCCCATCCACAGGCTACAACTTTCCTCTACCACACAGTGACCCCTGTCTGAAGGGTGAGAGCTTCTTCCTCTCAGACGCCTGACCATGGAGGGCTGAGGAACTTCTGGGATTTAGCTCATGATCTCCTGAGGCAGGTGGACGGTTGTGCCACTTGGTTGCTTAAATTTCTATGATCAAGTTTCCCTTTGCTGCAGTAACAACCAGTCTTCTAGGAAGGTTTTACACTAGATGTTGGAACATTGCTGTGAGGATTTGATTGCATTCACAAGAGCATTAGTGTAGTTGGGTACTGATGTGAGTTCTGGAACTCCAACTCATCTCAAAGGTATTGGATCTCCGTCATTCCAGAGACCACAGTTCCACTGTTCCACAGCTCAATGCTGGGGGGCTTTATACCCCTCCAGTTGACGCCTGGCATTGAGCATGGTGACCTTAGGCTCATGTGCAGCTGTTCCAGAGCATCCCATTCTATTAGCAATGCTTTTCTTTGGAGATACAAAGTGTTTATGACAGTGTAACTACCTGATCATGAAGAGACAGGAGATCAAGAGTCCAAATCCTGGATTGCTATGTTTGCATTGTTGACATTGTGACCCCCGGTTCCTACCACCTCTATAGTAGGGAAATCTGAACTAGTTCGTTTTTCTACACTCATCAAAAGATGGTTCATCAGGGTTCTAAATGAAAATGGATCCATATAGCATGAAATATGGTTCTTCTATTGTTACAAGCTTGATATCACAACAATAGAAGAACTTTCTTTGGTTCTATATAGAACCATATACAACACATTCTCCATCAGTCCGAAGAACAATTTCACCATGCAAAGAACCATTTAAGCATGAAATGCTTCTATAACCCATGGTTCTAAACAGAACGATTCATATGATTAAAGAACTTTTGAAGACCTTTCTTTCATTTCAACAATTTAACTATGCAGAAATGTTGAAAACCTGGTGGAATTCCCCTTTAAACGGTATATCAGACACAACTGGGATGTAGTAGCTACTAACTAGAAAAGCGCATTTCCTGAAGAAAAGGCGGAGTGTTTGCAAAGCGTAAGCTTGCTAAGATGTTGCTAGGTTGTTACTATGGTATCCCAGATGGTTGCTAAGGTGTTGCTAGGTGGTTGTTATGGACTCCCAGATGGTTGTTAGGCTGTTGCTATGTGGTTGCTATGGTATCCGAAGTGGTTGCTATGGTGTTCCAGGTGGTTCCTAGGGGGTTGCTTGATATACTGCATGGTTAATATGATGTTGCCTATGGACTTCTGTCAGCGTAATAAAGGCTGGGTGCACTCATTCATTCATACGGGGAAAAATTATTTATTTAGCGAGGATTTTCAGAAAACCAGATCAAAAAACAGTATACAAGCACATTATTCCTGACAGGATCGAACATTCTGGAACGATGTCGATATTTAGAAAACAGCGGGAATAGTTAGCGGACAAAAACAGCAGAAAGATTACCTGAGTATTTTACAGCGTACAGAGCAGGACAGGAGTTGATTACTGTTGCTCTAAAATAGGGAAGTGAGAGAGAGTGTGGAGTGTCCGTCTCTCTTCCTGATGACCACACGATGGCGCGCACATTCCACAACTGGATCACACTCGTTCCCTCAGGCTCAGGCCGAGCGGGAGCGCGCAGGCCGCGCGCGGAGAGTGGAGGAGTGACGGAGCGCGCGCTCAGAGCTGCCGCTGCGGGACTCCGACTAGGAACTTCTAAACAGGATAATCTGCGGGCCCGTCTCTCAATAAACAACCTGTAAACAGGACAAGACTTTGTCTCCGTCGTGGCTTTGGTGGGATATCCTCTTTGGACTCAAAGGCACGTTTGTTGGACGAAGTTCAGGTAAGTAACGAAAAGTTAGTTCAAAATTCGGCAGGAATGGGTCCCGTTTCCACCTCAGGAGATTATTAGCCTGTGTGTTAGCCAACTAAGCAGACTAGCCAGGTGTGCTAGCGAAGCTAAGGTGCGTGTGTTCTCGGCTGAAACTCGTAACCTGAACGCTCGTCTAGCTCCGGTTTCCCTCACTCACTCTCGGTGGAATGAGAGAGAACCTGTTCCATCATGTCCGAGCTGAGGACTTATTAGCGAGGCTGAAGTTGGCTTCCTATTTCCCAGCTTCTTGTTCGGATTTTCCCGATCCACCTTAAACGGAGCAGCAGTTACAAGCACCAGAATGTAACTGCTGCACCATTTAAGGTGGAACTGGAAAATACGAATAAGAAGCTGAAGAATAAGAAGCTGACTTCAGCTTCGTGACGTATTACATGTCTCAGGTAGCTAGTTGAGCTAGTTTCTGCTCTTACAGCGACATTCCTCAACGTTTTTCCGTTTAATTGAACGAGCTCACCAAACGAAACTGGCGGTTTTTGTTTTTATTCGACAGTAAATTTGTCAGAAGTTTTAGACGAACTGTGACCCAACGAACGAGTCAGGTTAGCTGAGCTAGGCAGGTGAGTTAGTTAGCAAGGTGGCTAAGTTAACCTAACAACTTCAGGACGAAATCCATTCCAGACTCAGATTACGAACAGGAAACTCAGCGGGAAGAGAGATTTTACTACCTTTAAATACTCAAATTTTCCTCTGTTAGAACAAAACCGTGCTGTTTGATGACTTTCGGTCATTGGAGGAGCTTTTTTTAGTGAAATGATTTAAATTTGACAAAACCTTCCACTTCGTCCCTCCGGACCGCAGTCCTTCACTTTATCTTGTTTACTTCTAATGTCAGCGGGTTCCTAAACGAAATAATGACACATAAGCTACAGTGTTTGTGGGTTTTTTTATGCATTCGTTTTATTCCATATAACATTTTTATTTGAAGACAGTTTCCTAGACGCTCAGACGCTTCAAGAAGCTGCTTTGAATATAAGAAGTGATTTTAACAATAGCAGTTGAGTTATTTGTTTACTGTTGATCAGTAAAAGGGAATTCCACTGATTTCTCTGCAAATTTATATTGCGATTTAAGTGGGTTAGTAAACAATACCTATGATAAAAACCAGATGTCTGAAGAGTTAATGCCTCTAAAAGCTCCCTCAACGAAAGGTATTACATTAAATGATTACGAATGCGTTATGAAGCCATGGTAATGATAGTTTAGAGTGAAGCTGGGCAATAAGACAAAATGTATTGTAATCATGATAGATGACATCACGGTGTGTCACAGTATGGCTTGCTGAACACACTGTGACATCATCAGTGCTTAAAAACACTTCTCAACTGCATATTTGATTAAAAAAGGATAATTAGATCTGTTTAATTGGATTTAGTGCAGCGCAGTGTGAATGTTGAATACAAGTAATGGGACTCTTAGTTTTTGATTGTATGTTTAAAATGTGGGCTTACTTTGTCTGTTATAACAAATCAGATGTCAGAGAAAGTAAACATCGTGACACATCCTGTATCATAAAAAAGTAATTGTATAGTGAAAAGACATTTTGCCGTATCACCTACCTCTAGTTTTGAGACAAGGTTTTGGTCTGAAACAAACAGCTGTTTAAAAGCTGTTTAAAGTACATACAGTTAAGACAAATAGTGCCCAAATCTTATTTTTTTCAGATTTACTCCTGTTCTACCAATATCAGTATTAAATATAACAGTCAGAAGACACATTGAGCTTCACTGGTTGCTCTGGATAATTAATAAAATGGCATCATTTGTGTTGTAGACATCATGACTCCTGGTGTGTTTCACCATCACTGTAAAAAGAAATCTGTGTCCTCTATAGCACATAAATTCACGTCTCGATGTTTTTTAACATTTCAGCCATTAAACAATGCTGTATGTGCAGCATAGCCCACCGTCTTTCAGCTTCATTGCAAATGAACTTTTAAGGTCATCACTATAATTCCTCTGAACAGGTGTTTTAAACCATCTTGAAATGAAGATGCCTGCTTGTTGTGACACTGTGTTTATGTTGTTGTCTTTATTAAGTGTCATCAATTGATTCTGACTCCTGGACATTATATGAATAGAGGTTCTCCAGAATTCTCCAGAACCAGTCTTCTGTTTGGATCTTCATCTTTCTTAATGACTTCCTTGTGATTCCTGTGATTGTCTCCATCTTGTTGCCGGTCATCTCCTTCCCCTCTTACTTTTCTAGTTGTTCATTGTATTCCAATGAATTTTTCTTCTTATGATATGTTAAACTCGAGAGAGCTTCAGAGTGGTTATCAAGGCTTCGAGTGAGAGGTTAGGCTTGAATTGGTCCAGGATCTGTTTGTACTCTCACAAGTCTTCGCCACCACCAAAATTTAAAGCCAGCAACATTTTCCTACCTCACTTTCATTGTACAGCTTTTACACTCATAAAGAACAACAGAAAATACCCGGACAGGTATGATCTTTGTTTGTTAAGACAAATCGTTGCAATTGAAGACGTTCGATACTTTGTAATATTAAAGTAATTCAGTTGGTACAATAAAGGTATTTCGATACCCAAACTTAATCATTGCTAATTCATCTATAGGTGTAATTGTGGTGCTGATGTTGTTTTCACAATACAGACAATACAGGACTTTATAGCAGCAGTGCACCATTATGTGAGGGTTTGTCTTGTCTACAGTTAGGTCTGAAAAAAGTGGGCTGTTTAGGGGGTTGGTGGTATCCTAATACCTATGGATATCTAAACTTATGTCAGTATTATTTTTACTTAATTGGGTACTTAAATAAAGCATGTATATACTACTGTTTGTTTATATTGGTGTAAAATGTTTTTGAAATTGATAAATGGGGTGAAACATACTTGGGTGGCTGTCAGTTTACTTTGGGGGACCCTGCAAGTTTTAAAGGGCCTAAATAGTGGAAAACAGAATTTTCCTCTTTTTAAAATAATGATGTAGTATGTAAACATTTTTAAGAATTTAAAACATACTCTTCATTCCCCCCATCCATATGTTAAACATATAGAAACATAGCTGCAGAAAACAAACATTTACTTAAGTCTTATATACGTATTCAGCTTACGGCTGGTTGGCTCCGGTCATTCACACTGAAGATTTAAGAAGTGTTTCAGCCTGGCTGGCTTTCTGAATGAGGCACAGCCAATCAGAACAGAGCTCATTCTCGTATGTCTGCCTCAAAGGCGCGGTAACAGAAACACCCTTTTAATACCAAGTGACTAGTTGGAACTCAAGGGAGAGAAAGAAAATGCTACAAGATGTAGGATATGGGCCCGGTAATGGGCTGATTATATCTAGAAACATCCAGATGTTTAGTAACATGTAATAAAGATGAGTAACAAAATTGATGTAGTTATTAATACAGTTATAGTCACAATAAACATATGAATATATATACACATATATAATAAACATACGTAAATAATGAATATGAAGAAGCTGAATAGACATATTTCATAAATATCTACAGGTGCCTGTCTTTTCCCATGCCTGGTTTCATGTGGAGAGAGAGAGAGAGAGAGAGAGAGAGGCTGAAAGAGGCTGAAAGTGTGGGAGGAATTCTGTTTGCAAGTTAAGAAAGCTTTACATGTGTGCGTTTCAGCTGTGTCATTTATGGAAAAATCACCGACCTGACACAAGTGCTGATTGTGTAATGCACTTCAAACAGCGTCCTGTCAGAAAGAATGTTCTACGACATCAAAGAAATATGAGAGCAATGAGTGTGTTTGAGAGAGAAGGAAATGAATGGATCAAAGCAGTTTTTATTCTTTGAGGACCAAATAAGCTGTAGTATTGACTAGGCTAACTACTCTAGGTGGTGTTAACTAGGTTTACTGTTGTTTACTGTTGGCGCATTGTCCGCTGAGGAGAAAAGACCACCTGTAAGAAGATGGTAATGGGTCTCCATTAGCATCCATCGGTGTGCCAGTTAGCTCTGTTACCTCATTAGCTCATCTGAAGATCCAGCCTCCGTCACTCACCCAACCTGAAAACCCACCGATTTATTTATTTATTTTTGAATACATGCTGATCATTTTTTGTACTGTCATCTAAGTAAGCCTACAACACTACATTAATGTTCATTTCTCTTAATGAACTCATTATCCGTTCAGTTATTTTTACAGATATTTGAATATCAAAATTAGTCTTTAATTGATATTATGAGAACATAGACTGTACCATGATTGATCAACTTTATCATTTTGGGAATGTGAATGCTTTTATAGGATGTCCAGATATGCAGTATTGCTGCTTATTTCTAATATGTGGAGAATGTCATACAGTGCTTATCTGTTGAGTCATTCGGGGAAAAAAAAAATTGCCTTTCATCTTTCTGAGGCTTAAACAGTGACTAAGGCAGGGGTGTCCGATCTGCAGAGGGCTGATGTGGTTGCTGGGTTTCGTTCTAACAAAGCAGGAGCACTCCCGATCAGTTCTTTGAAAACTGAGACTGTTCGATCAAGCAAATGGGATCAGGTGATTTCCTGATGCAAACATGTTAGTGCAGTATGAGGGCTAACCCATATTTGTGTTGTATTGTACCCATATATACATATAATAGTAAAAATATATTTGTTGCATAGATAGAACATGTATTACTGAGATAAAGTAAATGCTCACTTTGTCTTCAACTGACCTTTAACTAGGGCTGAATGAGTAATCATTTTTATATCGAAATCACAGTGTAAAAGTTTAAAATAGTGCAAGAGCTGCAAATTGAATTATATGCTACATTATTTAGTGTGAGGAATTTAACCCTAGTAACACAGAGCTTGCAAATTGGCAGGCTGCTACAGTATGTTCAGTGTTCAAACTCAGCCCGAAGCCCAAAGAAATGTATATGCTAGTCTTCTTGGTACAAAAAGGCCTGGAGCTTCATTTATGGAAAATAATCACATTGAAATTACAATTGCAATGTTGGTCAGAAAAATTGCAAATAGATATTCTCCCCAAATCTTTTAGCCCTGCCTTATAGCCAATTATCTGTTAAATGCAGCTGAACTCCAATATAATTTAGTCTATAAAATCTAACTCAGAACCTAAACCCAGTCCTAACGCTAATCCTAACCTCAACACCAGAGAGTTTAACAGTTTGGAAATCTGTAGGGAATCTATAGATCTGTAGATAATCTCTTAAAATAAAAGTAACCAGTATTTTGATCAGTAATGACTTATCAGAGTACCTTTTTCTATAGGACTCATTGTACGATCTCACCGATGAAAAGACAAGCCTTATCTAAAGGGCACAGTGTTGTTATTTCCTGGAAGTATTAAGCAAAGTTGGGAATGTTTTCTGAAATCTGATGATTTGAGACAGATTTATCTTTGTATCTCTACATAGGTCAATGTCAGGGGTCGGCAACACGCAGCTCCGGAGCCACATGCAGCTCCTTTACTGCTCCACAGCAGAATTGGATTTTTTGGTAAAAATAAAATAAAACTGTTCTAACACAGTTTTAACAAAATATGGTCTTAAACGCTGGAGTTAATATATAACTGCTTTTTCACCCTTTAACTCTGAAGGTTGGCGTGCAGACTGCTGATCACACAGTGACACAGACAACAGTCTTGCCTAGCTAGTAGCTAACGAAAAGGCAAGGAGAGAGATTTAAGACGAACATCGATAATTTGGAGACGAATGGATTTATTGTTGCATTTATAAGCAGGCTGGTTTCCTGATACATTTAATCTGCAACATGAAACTCTCAAACACTAAAAAGTCACAAAGCTGAAGTGAGCTTTTCTTTTACCAGCTTCTTGTTTGAATTTTCCTCTTCCACCTTTAATGGTGCAACAGTTGGCTACACAGTTAGCTATATTCTGGAGCCTCAGGCACCATTTAAGGTGGAAAGGGAAAATTTGAACAAGAAGCTGGCGAATGAGAAGCGACTTCAGCCTCGTAAAAAGTTGAACGTTAAGAGACATTCTACAAGAAACTATTTTAAATTTGCGGAAGTTTCCTGCGAAAGATACGAGAAAAGCGGCTACAGCTGAGCTAAAGCTTAAATTAGAGCAAAGTAAATCTACCTTTTTCATTTATATTGTATTTTTAGCCTATACTAGGACATGAGCACATACTGAGGCATATTCACAGCCATGATGAGGATACATTACTTCAATAAAATGGATGTGAAATGTTGTGGCTCCCAAGGTGTTTAGATTTTTGTTGAAACTTGACCAAATGTCTCTTCTTAACATATGGGTTTGCTGACCCCTGGTCTATGTCAACTCATAAGATGTATTTTTATTTACAGATGTTACTGAAGACTTTCATTTTTGTCTCAAGAACGGATGGTGTTCTATTTGCAAATGTTCTTGCAGGCTGAGTGTCACATATCATGTGTCCAAAGCAGATTCCTGTATTGATATTATACATACAGTGGCAGTAAATCGTTCTTGATTCTGTTTAGATGTCCTGCACTGCAAAGAAATTTAGCTGTCATCAGATCTTCCTTTCCCTTAAAACCATCATGCATACATTTAATCAGTGTACGTTCAAGATATGTAGGTGATACCAATTTTACTGTATTCACTGTTGACCTGTTTTGTAAACAGCAGCATAGGCACTGCCGTCCATGCAAACAGTTTCTCTCTCTTTACTTTTCAGGTGCGTTTGCGGTGATTGATTTTTGTCCAGAGAATGCTTCCAAAGCTTCTAATCACTTCCCAGTGTTCCTCTTGCTGACACCAGCCTTTGACATCTGATCTCGGTGGCAGTGATGGCAGACCGCTGCGACATTGCAGTCGCCCCTGGTCAGCCATACATTGAGGTGGAGTATGACTATGAGTACAAATCCAAAGACCGTATAATCAGCATCAAGCATGGGGAGTGTTACCTGTTGGTGAAAAAGGCCAACGAGGACTGGTGGCAGGTACGCAAAGAGGAGAACAGCAAGCCCTTTTATGTTCCAGCCCAGTATGTTCGTGAGGTACGGCGGGCTCTCATGCCACCCCCTAAACCTCTCCCAAATGCTGGTAGTGGGGTGGGGCCCAGAGGAGGATCCTTAAAGAGCCGTCCATCTGCCCTAGAGCTCAAACAGTCTGACGAGAATTTGAGCAAACGAACTCCTGCCCACTTGCCCTCTACTGCACTGCAGCCTCCCAAAGAGGACAAAGGCAGTCCAAAAAGCCCCGTCCAGCCAGGGCAGCAAGTGCCCCTAAATGTAAAACACGGGTCTCTGCCTCGAACCCGGGCAAAGTCCCCACTGGGACTCAGAGCACCACTAGATTTGGATGGAGATAGCGATGGGGAGGGAGACAAGGAAAGGAGTAGAGAAGGAATGCAGGATCGAAACGAAGACAGGGCTGGAAATGGAGAGAGAGAAAGGAAGAAAGGAGGAGAGAGAGCGGATGATGGAGAAAAGGGAAGGAGAAGAGATGGGGAGAAAGTGACAGATGGAGAAAAGAAGAAGAGAGAAGGAGAAAGAACAACAGATGGGGAGAGAGAGAAAAAGGGAGAAGGAGAGCAGGACATGAGTGCTCCCAGAGAGGTGTTGGAGAAAAATCTAAACGATTCCGAATCCGGGGACGAGCTCAGCAGCAGTTCTACAGAGCAGCTACAGGTAGGGGTTGTTTTTTGTAACGCAACTAGAAAGCCACGGTCATACCTTAACCATCGCCTTGCTATTGTCTTTGTGGGGGTGGAGCAGTAGTCAGATTATGGGCAGTACCGATACGATGTGGTTTTGGAGGGAATATATAGTTCAGTAAAGAGTTAACATTGTCTGCTTTGCTGTGAGTAACAAGCAACATTGTCAAGCAAATCAGCTTTGTCGCTGTGACCACGGGTTAAGACCCCGTCCCAGCAGTTTCCCTACTCTGACCATCTTTACTGCAAGTTAAGTCATTCCGATGTCTTCACACACGTAAGAGGGGAAGGGCTGGTTATAAAAGCACTTTTGGAGGGACCTCCAATGCTGCTACAAGTAGTTAAAGTAGCATTATGTGATATTCTTTGTTAAAACCTAGAGTAGAATTACTGAGTTTGGAGAAAAAGAGCACACAAAAATATGGTGTGTGCGTGCTGCTGCCAATCACCCTGTTAACTCTGAAATAATAATTCACAAGCTCAGCAGTACCGGGACAGATTTGGCAGGAGTTTCTCGGACCACATCATATATCTTTACGTATTAACGTCACACACATAGACTCGGGATGTGACTCAATGTTTTGCTCTCAAATGCAATATCAACTTTATACTGATGGAAATATGAAGACAATAGTAGTTGATTCACTCACATGCTCGACAGACCTGTCCTTTACCAAGTTTTGACTGAGCTCTCGTTGAATACCCTTTCAATGCACTCGCAAAAGTTAGATTCATGTGTTTGTGGGGATCCGAAGCACAACCGATGTTACAAAATGTTCTTCCGCATGTTGTGTGCAATTACATATTTCCACCAGAGAGGTCTCCAGATCCCCTTAAATCTTATATTGTTGCTTTAGTAAGTGAGTACTCTTATCTTTTGCTCCAGAATAGATTCAACACTTCATACAACACTGATATTATATATAATAATACATATACATAAATTATTACGGTATGTATGTCACAGTAATTTTGGTTAAAATTTTTGCTGGTAGAAATTTCAATGCATCCCTAATACATTTGATCATTAAAATATTAAGAAATTGGAAAGGCATTCACATAACTGATATACTCTATCCTTGTTTAATGCATTATTTATTTTTTTTTTGGTCAAGATAGTTGCCAGCAATTCACAAGTAGTAAACAGTAGCAGTGCTGGGGCTGGCTATTCATATCTATACCAATACAGATACCTTGATTTTGAAACTGATTTCTCAACGATACTTTTTTCTATACCTTTTTTTAAGTTAAAAAAGTGGGAGTGGCTTAAGCCAGAAAGCCTCCTTTGATGTCGGTTAGATGGTACTTTCTAGTTAAAGCAGACGGTTCTTGGCCACTGTAATATTTCAACAACAGTGAGAGGTATGACCTGTTGATGCTCTATTCCTAAGTACCTTTATTAGAGCTCTGATTTGAAGCGATAAAGTCTTAATCATTAAGGTTTCTGCTTCTCCAGATTGCTTGCTACTGTACTCGCCACTGTATTTATTTCTGAGTATAGAAAAGAATGTAAACTTATTCAGACTGCACCAGTGACCAATGCAGAGTTTAGCATGTGGGTTTTTTTTAGCAGCCCTGCTCACTCACAGGAGTTTTCAGTTATTAAGATAATGGCTAAAAAGGTTTATTTTGTATTTTTATACAATATATACATAGGATCATTTTCAATAAAATAGTCAAAAATGAAAATGTTTGACAGTTGCAGCCCTAAATATTACCTGAAATGTGTGTAGAGCATCACACTGCACAGTTTTATGGTGTCAAATTTGATTTGGCTGTTAAAAATGGAAGCCATTCTTCTTGTTGATCCATTACATCCAAAAGTATTGTCAGATACAAATGTGAAAGCTGAGTTTCACGATTCTGTCTCAGTTCTGAAGGACTTTACGGTTAACTTTCTCTCACTGCTTCACTGCTAGCCATTTGTGGACACACACCAGTATGGTACATGTTCAGGAACACACTGAGGTGGAGTGTCGAAGGTGGGGGCTTAGTGGAACAATTGAGAGACAGTGTAACTCTCTCTCTCTGTGTAACTTCATCTGTGGGTATCTTTCTCTCTTATTCGTTGCGAGTTCTGCCAGTTCAACCTTTGTTCATTGACTACGTCTGTGCAGAAACAAAAGGCTTTGTTCACACAGCAGGTAAAAGTGGCCTAAATGTGATCTTTTTCTTCATATGTGACACAGAAGTGTTATCTGTCTTGCAGTGTAAACAGCAAAGAATACATTAAATCTGACCTTTTCAATTCCAATTTAGGATACTTTCATATGTGGTTCTGAAATCAGATACGTATCTGTTATGTGGCAGTGTGACTCAGTCTGAATAGCCAGATTAAAATTCATGCAACTTTTGCCTCAATCCAACTCAACATGTCATCATTTTGCACTGCCCCCTTCTAAAAGTTTGAGGTGATAACAAATGAGGTATAAACAAAATTAGAAGATACTTATCCTAATCGCTCTGTGTTGGAAGAGATTTTGAAAGAAATAGGACAATGAAGCTCCATTGTCAAAGAAAAGTTAAAAGTTTGAAAGCAAAGTTTTAAAAAACTAAGGGCATTGACCAAAGAAGTGGTGGTGGCCAAAGATGAAACTGAAACCTCCGGTAGCGGCTGTTACTGTTGACTCCGTTTTGATTGTTTACCTCTGAAAGACACACGTTTCACATGAAGCATTGTTCTTCTTCGTATGCGGCTCAGTTTAGGAGCGTGATCTGTTCAGGTTGATGTTGCGTATAGGTCACATTTAAAAGATATTATGAACAGCCTAACAAAAACATTGGATTTGGTGAGATTTGGGCCACTGTTATCTGCTTTGTGAATGCAGCCTAAGATTTGAAACACTGAAAGAACTGACACTAGTTCCTGCTCACATTCAAAAATGCCCGTTCAGATTTTCATAATCATTGCAGAAGAATGGCATTAGAAACCTAACCTTGTGTTATGTCACATCTCACTTTTCAAAAGTAATTCAAAAATCAAGGTATAAATTTATGTAAATACACAAAATGCCAGTGGTCTGCTGTAAAATGTGTTCATTTGAAATGAACAGTTTATTATTTAGCGTTTTTTTTAAATTGTTTATTCAGTTAGAAGGTTGCATTGAAGACTTTCTTTGTCAATGCTTTAGTTTCCTCTTACTGTTAAAGTACATGGATGGTGGGTGAATTGACTACGCTAAATGAAAGTTTGAGTGTTTATGTGGCCAGTGATGGACTGATACCTCATTCTTGGTGTACTTCTTCTTGTATCCAGTGCAGTCCCTCCCTAGACACAAAGGACATTCATGACCATCACCTGGGATGACCAATTAGTGAAAGAAAGTCATAGGTTGTTTTCTGCCATACTTAACACTTTTCCTGTTTTTAAGTTGTTATAATAGCTAATAGAATGATGGACTGATGGAAATTTCTTTTTAAAACCAAATAAGGTTTCTGTCTGTTTTCTTATTTGGGATTTTTTTTAGGTAAGAACAGAATCTGCACCCACATTTCTCAAGAACACAGAAGAGAACAAAGAAAAAACTTAGGAAGGTATTGGAGAATGAGGCCCATTGTTCTTTACTTGGTAGTATTTGTACACCAAAGCAAGTTATTTGATATGACTTTATCTATGGTACTCAAGTTGTTCAGTTTGGACCTGAACTAGTGTCATGTTACTCCTAAAATACTCCTTTCCTGTTTGGTACATTTCAGAAACAAAATCAGAACCTGGGCTTAACTAGGTCGTTTATGCAATAACTTGCATCAGTCACAGCATTGTTATACCCTTGTAGCATGAAGTTTAGAGTTATATAGTAAGAATGGGACGGTATGAACACAAGTTTGTTGAAATCTAACAAAAATAGAGATTGTAGAGATTGTAGGGATGGTTGGGATGCATTGATATGGGAATTGTTGATACTGATTTTTAAGCAATGATTTGCCAATACTGATATGTTTCTGATATTACTGTGCATCCTAATTTCAGAATTTATTTAGTTCTTGTTTTTTTTTAATTTCTATATAATACTGAAATATCAAGTATACTTGATGGCTAAGACCACTTCAGGATCAGATGGTCAGATGGTGATTCATTGGTGTATCAGTGTCTGTCCCAAACAGAACCATGATGTGTGTGAAAATTAATTACTGGGACATTTTACACCATAAGCGTCGTAAAAACTGGAGTGAGCTTTTCCCTTTAGCTCTGACATAATGCTTAACTCTGTTGAACAAAATTTCTAGCGCGGTGTCATCTTAGGAGATTCTACAAGAGAATTCCTTGGAATTGCACTTAACGCAGAAAAAGATTGATGCAAATCAGTTTTCTGTTTAACAGAGATGCTTATCAGTTGGCAGGTGTGAATGGAATGTGGATAAATTTGGACATTATACAGATATGAAATTACAAGGGTAAATAGGCTTTTAGTATTTTTTACAGTATTTCTCCCAAATCTTACAGTTTCCATTCTGTGTCTTTGTTTTATTTGTACCATTTACTTCTCTTACTTGTCATCTTTCCCTTTTTCTTTCCCTGTCTGTCTCTTTGCTCTTTCAGCATTTTGTAATGCAGCAAATGTTTGTTTTCCTTTCTTTTTTTCCCCCCTTAATCATGCTGTGTGTGGGATGACATGCCATCTCTCTGGGATGACATGCCATGCACTCTGACCTTGTGAAGTGTGTTGTTGGCCACAGGTTTTACTTACTTGTTTAATCTCACTCTTATTCTCTCTTATTATTATATCTATATAATTCTAACAGCTAACCCATTTCTGAGCCAAATAAAATAGAGAAACCGGGAAGTAGCCGTATCAAATTTTGTCACTTAATGCTGATGGTCTTTAGCTGTTCCTCCTTTTTCACACGTGAAACCTGTGACCTTTTCAGCTTCAGGTTTTAAGCACTACAAAGGTACCATTTACAATTTATGTGCAACTCTTGTGATGCTTGGCACCATCAGATCAATTCTGATAAATAACCAGGAGGTGCCTG